GGTGTGCGGTCCCGGGTCAGTGTGTTCCAGCTGTGACCCCAGGTAGTGGTCCGGGGTTATCCTAGTCAGTGTGCAACCCCGGGTCTGTGTGTTCCAGCTATGACTCCGGGCAGCGGTCTCCTTGGGTTATCCTAGTCGGTGTGCTGCTGCGGAGTGAGGATTGTTCAAATGTAGATTAGGAATGCCTTCACTGACAATTACAACCACATCCACTTTTTCATGTTTTCCAGGAAGTACTGGGAATTTTTCCTCCTTAATGTTTTTATTCAGGAGCTCTGGTAACACAGTGCCTAAGGCACTTGACTGCTAACCAGAATGCTGGCGGTTCAAACCCACCAGCCACTCCTCAGAAGGAAGATGGAGCAATCTATTTCCATAGTGATACTGCCTCGGAAACCCAAGGAGGGGTCGCCATGAGTTTGGGCCGACTCAATGGCACGTAACAACAACAACAACCACGTTTTTATTCTGGTTTGTGCAAAGATGAGCTCACTGACGTTTCCGCGTGGGGGATTTTAGGTGTAATTGTAGGTGCTTGGCTGAAGGTGCTGAGAGCATTGTGATTCTCTCCCTCCTGCCACCTCTTCGTAGTGTGACCCCTTTCATGCCAGTTCCTGCTCACCTGTCTCCCTGACACTGGACTCACTGGGACAGTTGGGCCCCAACACACACAGTGCAGGGCCCTGTCTGACTCACTGGGATGGTCGGGCCCCGACATACCCAGTGCAGGGTCCTGTCTGACTCAATGGGACAATCAGGCCCGAACATACCCAGGGCAGGGTCCTGTCTGACTCAGTGGGATGGTCAGGCCTCCCACATGCCCAGTGCAGGGTCTTGTCTAATTCACTTGCACAATTGGGCCCCCCCACACACACACACACCCAGTGCAGGGTACTATCTGACCCACTGGGGTAGTCGGGTCCCTGACACACACAATGCAGGGCCCTGTCTGACAGTGGAATAGTAGGCATAAGGCATGTGACCTTGGTGGGTGGTCCAGGTCTTGTCTTAATTTTCTCACATTTAATTCAGGGGTAACACTGCATAGGAGTGGGTCCCTGTGGTAAGAGGGGGATGGTGCCCCATAGGGGTGAGGAGAAGTGATGCCCATTAGGGGGCTGGCGCCCATGGGGTGCCCTAGGGGAGGGTGGATAGAGCACTTCACTCTCCTCCCTGAACCCGGCACGGGGCACACACACTTTGTAGGCATTGCCTGTCATCTTTCTGTAAAATGAATCCTTGTCCAGTGCCCATGCGCGTTGAGAGCCCTGGGCAAGCGCCCAGTCTGAGCCCTGCAGGCGCCTCTGGGGTCAGCAGGATGGAGGTTTCCTGCTGCTCCGTCCAGCCCGTCCCCCTTTGCTCTCTCTTCCTTTTTTAAATAAGTGTCTAGATTTCCTTGGCATCAGCAGCATGTCTCATGTGGAAAGGGTGTCTGGCGGTTTGCAGTATTGGATTTAAGCCCTTGCTCTGTTGGCTTGACAGCGCCCAGTGTGAGCGTGCAGACCGCTCTGTTGGAGCGGGGCTGTGAGCATCCCTGGGAGCCACTGTCTCAGCACTTGGAGCCGTGGTCCTCAGTGGGGGAGGAGTCGTGGGAGTCGGGTGGGAGGAGCACATACTCCCAAAGCAGGATAGACACCCCCATCCCCAAGGAACCAGGAGGTGTGCTCCTGCTATGCGTGTAAGGGATGGGAGCATACACCACTCCGTGAACAGCACTGACAACCCCACACATGGCTGTGGATAAAGTTTCCCTGGACTTCTACAGACAGTGACAAGAGGAGGCTCCCAGAATCCTAGCACTTGAGGAGTTAAACAGAGGAGACTTAATGAGGGAAGGTTAGAGGAGAGAAAGTTGGCCAAGAAAAACACCTCAGGAGGTGGCAGGCCATCTGTACTATCCCAAGTGCAGCAGGGACTGGGCTGGTGGATGTAGGAATTAGGAGTGTGTTAGTGAGCTCACAACTGCAGTGGATTCATTAGGGTGGAGTGGAGGGGCCGGAGAGGCTATCAGTGAACTTGGAGCAGGTCTCAGGGCATGAGACTGGAGGAGGAGAGAGCATAATGTCACACAGGAAATCTGATGAGTGGCAGCACAGGGCCACTGAGCGTGTCTTTTTCTTGTGGGAAAACCACAACCACAAAAGATAGTGCCGTCAGTCCAAGAAGAGGGTCCTCATGTCCTCATGCACCAAGGAGGAGACTTTGATTCCAGGGAAGAGGGTCCTCATGTCCGTGTGCACTGAGAAGGAGACCGAGTCCAGGGAAGAGGTTCCTTGTGTCCTCATGCACCAAGGAGGAGATTGAGTCCAGGGAAGTGGGTCCTCATGTCCGTGTGCACTGAGGAGGAGACTTTGATTCCAGGGAAGTGGGTCCTCGTGTCCGTGTGCACTGAGAAGGAGACCGAGTCCAGGGAAGAGGGTCCTTGTGTCCTCATGCACCAAGGAGGAGATTGATTCCAGGGAAGTGGGTCCTCATGTCCGTGTGCACTGAGGAGGAGACTTTGATTCCAGGGAAGTGGGTCCTCGTGTCCGTGTGCACCGAGGAGGAGAACGAGTCCAGGGAAGAGGGTCCTTGTGTCCTCATGCACCAAGGAGGAGATTGAGTCCAAGGAAGTGAGTCCTCATGTCCGTGTGCACTGAGGAGGAGACCAAGTCCAGGGAAGAGGGTCTAAGGGTCTTCGTGTCCTGGTTCACCAAAGGGGAGACTGAGTCCAGGGAAGAGGGTCCTCGTTCACCAAGAAGGAGACTTTGATTCCAGGGAAGAGTGAGTGTCGTGGCTGTCAGTGAGCCAGAAGACGTAATAGAGCATGTGCGGGGTACAGAGAAGAGCCACTGTGTGGAGTATGGCTGCTGTGGTTTGCAGAAGGTATCGCCCACCCGTCTGCCTGCTCATTTCTCACCTTCAGTACAGCACACACAGGAGGGCCATGCCGATGGCAGACTGGCTTTAAGTCCCAGGTTCAGAAGTGCTGCAGGGTCGATGAGGATTGAAGACAGAATGTCCCCCTACTGCCTGAAGCGGGAGCTCTGGTAGCATAGTGGCTAAGGCACTTGACTGCTAACCAGAAGGCTGGCAGTTCAAACCCACCAGCCACTCCTCGGAAGGAAGATGGGGCAATCTACTTCCGTAGTGATACTGCCTCGGA